CATTCCTGCTGTCAAAGTCGAAGGAGGGCATTCGAATTAGTTGCGGAGTTCGTCAGGAAGATGTGCTTTCGCTTTTGATAATCAGCATATTTGTCGACTTTCTTCTGTGAAACAGTACTGACCCTGAAAGAGGCGAAGATTTCATTCTATAAGATAGAGACAGTTGAAAACATCGGGCTTGATATTTTACTGACTTGGATTATGCAGTTAATATTGTCCTGGTATGTGGTACGGAAAGCTGGCTCCGTCAGATGGCAGCTGCGGAAACCGACTTCTTGCTTAACTTTTGGAGTCCAGTTGTTGAGGAAAAACAATAGAAATGATTGATCCACAGGTGGAGCAGAGAAGTTGACCAATTTAAGTATCTTGGCTCTGTTATCTCCAAGAGTGGTACCATACAATCAGAATTAAATCAGAGGTATCGTCCTCTCATGCACTGCTTTTGGGTGCCTGTCAATTATCTGGGCTGAGAAGGGGTAACGCTTTACACAAACATCCGCCTGTACCTTGCCTGTGTCAAGTCATTGTTGTTCTGACGGCATAGAGACTGTTGTTCTAACGAAGGAAATAGAACAACGGTTGCACTGCGTAGCACCATTGACTTTTCGACGTGCAGTGAGGTTTAAGTGGCAGGACCATGTAAGGAATGACTCCGTTTTCGTCCAGGCGCTCTTGACCTCAACAGACGTGGATGTTAAGAACAGGCGGTTTGCTGTGTCAGGCAAAACAGGTTGAGCATACGCCATTTTCCCCAGCCTTCCTGTTTCTCGTGTGGAGCGTCGACCAGGACGCCGGCGCACAACTTGGAGAAACAAGGTTTTGGCTCATCTGCAATCAGAAAGGAATATTTACATGTACGATGCAACAACCGGTGCCTTATATCGAAAGTGTTATAAAAGTGTGAACACAAAAGGCGTCACAAACGAGACGTTCTACTTTCGCAGACGGTTTAAGGTGATGATAACACTGCCTCGCTTAGCAAGGTTCGTGATACTACGAACAGTGCCATTGCCCATTTATCGATAGAAAAGACCTAATTTGTTTTCCCAGCCCGTTGCTCTTTTAAGGTAGCAAGAACAGTGTTGTGTAAAGTTTTCTAGCGTTCTCCCGGTCTTCCATCATTCTAGTGAACTTTACCGTTTTCTGTCGAGGCGGAGCAATGCCAGATGTTCTCTGTGATTGTGTATTCGGTTCATGACTTTGCGAGAGGATGCAGTCAGGTTTCTATAGCTTTGCGGTTGAACTTGCCGTTTTACTGAAAAAATGATTCTCAAGCGAAAGTATGTCAAATTTTCGTGTTCAGAACCTTGTTGTGTCTCATGATGCAGCCTGTGACGAAACCTCACCTTTGCCCGTTTGTGTCCCTCATCATGTCCTTTTGGTCAGCATCCAACGGTCGATGAAATATAACGCCTCATTGCTGCCCACATTTTTCCCCATCACCACAGAATGGTTAATGTTTTGTCACCTCGTACCAGACTAGGAAGCATTCGTTTGGGCAACGTAGCTGTCGTCAGCATAATGTGGTATAAGTTTTGCATAAAGCGAATCAGTATACAAAAACACAGCAACGAAATGCAATAACCGTCATCGCTGTGGTTATGTACAGTAATACTCTGATACTTCTGCTGACTACCTGTAACAAGCTGCTTAGATAACGACCGTTTCAGAAACGGTTCTTACGCAGCGGTGCTGGTTAAAAAATAAAGTACAAGATATTGGTTTATTTACCGCTCGACTTCATCAACTACTATATTATTTACGTTGTTAGGTATTTAATTATTTTGCTTAATGTAGGTTGTACTGTCACTATGCACTTACTAAGTAGATTATTTTTCGTTTTTTAAGAGATTTATGTTTAGACAGGTTTTGGCCCTGCGGTACCCGCTGATGGTACTGATACGTTTCCGGACAATAAGGTGCTCCGTCCGGTCAAATCGGAACCTTCATTAGAGTTACCAAGTGAATTTCATGTAAAACCAGAAGCGCTCGACAATGTCTCAGGTAATGGACAGATTGTATAGCTTTTCACATTTGATCCCTCTCGTTTAAGGCATCCCTGTTGGCCAGCTGATTTGCGTTCACTTGCCGAATATTCTCCGTGGCATTATTGAAGAGACCGATGTTGGTAACCTCGTATCGACACCTACTCCGCAGAACTCCAATTTTGACGTAAATGTCGTAAACCATACACTAAAAGGCTAATTCTTCTCAAGGCGGAATTTCGTGGCTCATTATGTTGCAGTATTGTTTTCAGTTTCTTTAAGGATGTAGTTTAAACAGACTGCGACTCAATGACACTTGGGCGTCTACAGTGGTATGGGCCTCTCGCATTACTTTATTAGTTGGGATTATCTCGTAGGCACCGTTAACGATGTTGCAGGAGCTGTTACTTCTTGCGTGTTACCGCATAAACCATTTAAGTAACCTATTAACCAATGGAGCGACACCTAGCGCACAAAAGTTGAGTGTTGGAGAGCTGAATATTTGGTAACGCCCTCTGGCGTACGAACCCGTAATTTTAGAATTCCTGTTTGTTAGTTAAGGATATTATTCATGACTAAGAAAGTGTAAATGCAGTTTTTCTCTTAAACGTCGACAGTTGAACAGGACCTTTCGACTTGAAAGTTTAATCGTGGTTTAAATCTATCAGCAGGTATACTTCATATCTCCTTGAAAATTCTTACGACAGAAACACTGAAGCAGATTTTTATATTTTGGCTCGCTCTTGATGATCGGCTACAAAATTTCGAGCAGTTACCAAGTGGTAGCTGACCAAAATGGTACATTGCATAAGCCGTGAATTAAATTTTAAAAGTCGTCCCACTTACTCTTTACAACTTGATCGACATGATTCAGAAGCTTTACACCGTATATAAAATTTTATTCGAATAATTCCAGGCGTAATCGATCGAACTGGATCCGTCTTCTGAGGACATTGTCTAAGAGCAACGTTGTTTCAGACTTGAAATGACTTTAACTTGGTAAAGACATGTTCGACCAGTTGTTGATACGTCATGTTATTCACAGAGTTGACAGTGTCAGATATAATTCAGTCCTTTTCTTTGTCATTAGTCAATAGTCAATTCCTTTTTTGTATACCGTCACACTCTTGACAAGCCCTGTACGTTGTCTCTGATAATATTTTTCTGGCTTGTGCCAGCGCTCGTTTATAGTTGGTATTTGGTCATTTCTTAGCATTATACCACTTTCATGTTCTTCCACTTTTCTCTATATAATTATCTTTCACCTGTATTCGATCAGTCCTGATTTATCAATTCCTTTTTCATTTCCGTCATGCCCTTTGTCTGTTTTCTCCCAGGCTGCTTGTGATCTTATCCCTTTTCCCTTTCGTCAGCATTGTTTTATCTTGTGAGGTTCGAATGCCGATCTTTATCCTTGCTTTTCCGTTTTCAACGTACGTGGCTCCGTTTCGCAAGTATCAAGCGATTGGTTGTATTAGTCCACCTTCGATTTTCCTCCTGCATTCAAGGATTTTCACTCGATAAAGTTGATTTTAAAGCGTTACGTCAGATTTAATGAGCAACCGTTCACCAAGTTTTTAAGCTTTTCTTGGTAGCTTCTCGCGCAGCAGCAAGATAACGTAATGAATGACCACCGTTGGGGTGTTGACGTTCGAGTTCTTGGCCGGTGCTGCTCAATACTGTTAATTTCGTTTTCTTTCTTTCAGTCGTTTCATTGATGAGATTGGCGCTGGATGGCCGTTCATCCTTAGCCTGTTGAATACATCTTTTTTTGCATGCCGTGTTCGTCTGTGTTGTTCCCTACTCTTCCTGCAGCCTTGAACTACCATTTTGAAGTAATTTTTGAAAACTAATCGAGTATGGTTTAAATCGCTTGAAAAAATCAGTTATTACCAACTTTTGGCTATTCAAATGTGTAACTTTTCTGTGATCAGTTTGTGTTGTAGACCGAAGCGAAAGAACGGAATATTGCTGAACCATCGAATAAGCATGTTTTTGAATCGGTTCGTGAAGGTTTCTTGGGTACACTGGTGATTTTTCGCTCTGGCAGGATGATGTTGCGGGTGCTGGACGCCGGCGGATTTTCGAAACGCTTTTTCCTCTTATCTTCAGTTACGAATTGCGTTTCGCAGGTTTGTTGTATTTTATAATACGTTTTGTTTCAATAATATCATCATTGTGAAACTCTAACGGATTCTTCGTAATTTGGGTCACTGTAGAAGGACACCAACTTGCTAATACGTTATGTAACAGGATAACTTACAAATCGACGAAACGGTACAAAAATAAAACCGGTGCTTCTATACGGAGAATAACCGAAGAGGAACGTTTGGTGACCCTGAATGAATGAGCAAAAGTTTAACTCGGTAAAAATGCAAGGGTTCTCAGGTGAATGTGTGGTGTCAGGAAAAACGACCATATCCGTACAGACACCAGCATCGCTAAAATTTCATGTAAGCTTGGCTTAGCTCCGTTGGTTCTTTCACATGAAAAGAAGACCTGTCGAGTTCATTTGAAATATAGTCCAAGCTCTGATACTGCCAAGGAAAGATGAGGAGCAGAACTCAGAAAAATTGCCACAAATTGTCAATAAATGGGTGACACTGCGAGGTTCACCGAAGATTTAGTCAAAGACGGAAAAACGTACAGGAGGACTCGAATTGCGGACCCCTATTAAAGGGGACATTGTGAAAAATAGCAAGTCCTCAAAGACTTCGTCAAAAATCACAAACGTTTTCGGACAAGGTACTCGTGCTGTGACTAAATTTTTATTCTTCCTACGATGATTAAGCAATGTCGATGACTCCACTTGCCTTCGTTTACCAATCTCCATTTCATTCAATACCACTTCTTCCAACGTTGGGCCAAATCTTAGAAGCTGTTCATTTTTTAAACAGATATTGCAGGGATCCTATATGTTGTTCGATGGAGAGTTACGTGAGTTTTTCTCTGTTAATTCTGGGGTTCTTCATTCATCAGGCCGAACTTTTTCATAGAGCTGCTAACGCTGCTAATAAACATAAATTTATATCGAATAACCGTATAAATTATAAACGTTTAGTTATGATGTTAATTGACAGAGTTGTG